CCCGCGGCCCAGCTATGCGCCCGGCGAGGGGGACGGGGAGAGGCTGGGGGTGCAGCTGTGCGGGCCGGGGGGCAGCCCCGAGCCCGAGCCCAGCCTTCACAGTTCCAGGGACTCCTTGGAGCCCAGCTCCATGGAGGCCTCCCCGGAGATGCACCCGGCCGCCCGCCGCAGCCCCCAGCCGGCCTTCCCGCGGACTGCTGGCTCGGCGGGGCTCAGCCGCAAGGACAGCCTCACCAAAGCCCAGCTCTACGGGACCTTGCTCAACTGAGGCCCCGCCACCCCTGCGGGCCCCCCACCGGCCCGCAGGCCACCGCCACCGAGACCCCTCCGCCGCCCACGCCCAGGGGCCCGCCGGGAGGCGCTCGCTCCTCCGCCATCTGGTCAACCCAGCCCCCACGGACCTCCCCGTGGGGACGTTTTACACACACATCCTGCCCCACCTGAGATGAGCATCCCCCCTTTTATAAGTGAAACTATTTTTATAGCGCAAAGGGTCTTTCTTAACGCACTTGGCCTCCAGCTCCCTGGATGGCAGCCTTGGCGTTTTCAACACAAAGCTCCTTTATTTTTCTGGTGAGGGCAAGTGGGGCCTGCCCCTTGGGAGGGTAGGACGGTGTCCTGGGGAGGCCCAGCGCCCCGCGGGGAGACACCCCAGCCAGCCAGTGACAAGGGAACCCCTGTCTACCCAGACGGGAAGTGGACGGCGCCGGGACGCGGCCGTGCGTGACTGTCCCCGAGCTCTCGAGGGCCGCGGTCCCGAGTGGGGCCGGTGCTCGCCCCAGCGTCCCGCTCCCCGCGCCCCCTCGCCCTACCTCAGCAGCGAGGAGGCCCTGTGCCCGCGGCCCGTGTTGCTCGTCCGCCCTGCATGCCCGTCTCAGTGGTACTGTATTTTGCGTTCGTTAATAAAAGACGTCAGTGGAAAGAATCCGGGTTGGCTCGTCTCTTTCCCCACGGCCCTCTGACCTCGAGGTGGGCGTGTGGCCCGGGGCCAAGGCGGCCCCAGGTGTCGCATGGGACACCCCGCCCGAGGTTTACGGGGGCCACCCTGCGGGGAGAAGCCAAGGACTGGACAAAAGTGAACGGCGAGGTGAGCAAATTTAAAAGTTTAATCGAGAAAAAGTCAGCAGCCCCTGCCCCACGCCTGTCCTCTCCCCGGCCCGTCCACCTGCCCACAGCACCGCTGCCCCCCGCCCCCGCTTCCTGGCAGCCCCTAGACTGGCGCCTGCCCTCGCTGCCTCGGGGTCCGGCCTCGCGGCTCTGCCGGCCGCCGGCCGCTGCCACCTCCCCGAGAGCCCTTCTTTGGCCCCGTCCCCCAAGGGCGTCTCACGGCCGCAGGTCGGCGGTGGGCCCGGCCCCTGCGGGCGGTCAGCACTGCCGTGGCCCCGGCTCTGCCCTTGCGCTGGCTTCTGCTGGCTTCTCCCCAGTGCCTGCCTGGGGCAGTCAGTCCTGGAAACCCCGCCAGGTCTTGGAGCTGCGCTGTGGCGTACCGTCGGCTGTCGGCTTTGCTGCCTCTGGGCCTCGATGCCCCTCCGCCCACTGGCCCCTGTCGCCGCCGCCGGGCTCCTGCGTCCCACCCCGTCTCGCCTGCCCGCCTGCATCGAGTCTCCGGGTCACTGTCTCCCCCGAGTGCGTCCGGCTGCCCGCCACAGCCACCGCGGGCTCCGCTGCCAGTGTTTTCCTCGCAGTTCTGTTCGGCTTTAAAGTCTGTGCCCTGGAGACGGTCCCAAGCGTGTCTGGATCTCCCTGGGTAGTGGGCATGGCGGGCTCACAGCCTGGGACAGGGATCCTGTCACGTGGGGCTGCGGAGACCATCTCAGCTGCTGCCCGGGCAGCCTCAGTTTTTGTGTCTCTTGGGTGCCCTTGAGGAAGTCCTGTGGGGTTCTGCAGGGCCTAGGATGGAAGCCCCTCCTGGGGGTGGGGGCTGAGCGTCTGCTTCTTTCAGGTGCTGGCTTGGCTGGCGCTTGCCCTCAGGGCCCCTGGCCCACTCAGCTACTGTAGCTCACGGGTGGATCTGCCTCCCGCCAGTGACCTGAAGAAGAATGGGCCCAGTAGGGGCTGCAGCACCCCCACTTGACCTGTCTCTGCGGCAGAGGCCGGTGGGCTCCCCCTACCCCCAAAAGCAGACGTGTCCCAGGAAGCAGCCTCTCCAGGCCAGGGGGGACTGTGAAGAGGTGGGGCGTCTCTGGGGCCCAGGCTCCTCGTGGGCTGACGGGGGACAGCAAGCCGGCGGGAAACTGCGAGGTGCGGAGCGGGGCCTGTGGAGTCAGAGCACCTAGGGCGGCTGCAGCCAGGGCCCGGCACCTCAGAGCCTGAATGCCCCACCCCGGGGGGCGTCCAGAACTCACAGTCATCCTGCCGTGGCCGCTGGGGAGCTCTGGCAGCAGGCCCTGCCCCGGGCTGGAGCGGTGGTGGCTTCTTCAGCCAGAGCCAGGCAGGCCCCCAGGACGGCTGACCCGGCCACACGGGTGGGAGGGGCGGTCTGGGCCTGGCGCTCGGCCCTCGGGCAGCAGCGGCCTCCGCCTGCGGTGAGGACCCAGACTGGCCAGAGTCACAATCACGCCCAGCACAAGCTCCCGTGCGGCCACCCCCAAGGCGAAGCCGCCCTGCCCCTCCGGGTTCGGAAGGCTCAGGTGAGGCAAAGGTGAGCGCTCAGCCAGGGAGGGGGTGGCAGCCCCAGCCCCCACTTCCTTTTCATTCCTGCTGGCACTTTTTCTAAATTTAGCTTTCTTATTTTAAAATTGCAAATGGTGAACTCTGAGGCACCTTGCTGGGGATTGTAAGGCTCCCAGGACGCACTCAGGAAGCAGGCAGGGAGACAGGCAGGCTCGGAGTACTCCTGCTGAGGAGATACCGCAGCCAGCTGGCACCTGCCGGGCACCGAGCTGAGAAGTCACGTCCACGGGAGGCTCCCGGCCGGGCCGCTCAGGGCCTTGCTGGCCAAGGCGGCAGCGGCAGCCCGGACGTGGAGGGCGGGGCGGCGTCTGCCCCTCACGGGTGCACACAGCTCACGGCAGCGGGGAGGCCCCGGGGCCTCGCCGACAGCAGAGAGCCGCCGCGGGGCCCGTCATCTGGACCAGCTGGTGGCTGCCCCCAACTCAGGCTCCTGCAGTTCTGTGTCCAGACCCCCAGTGTCCCCGGAACAGGGGGGCAGATGCAGCTGTCACACAAACTTGTCACTGAGATGATCCCAGAAGTAGCAAACGTGTTTATTGGGCGCCCGGGCCCCTCCGGGTGCTCTCACCCCGCAGGGCTCACAACCCTCAGACAAATGCATATCTGTCCCCATTTTACAGATGAGGAAACGGAGGCCAGAGGGCGGGCGGCAGCTCCCACAGGCCTGGCCCCGGCCGGCCGCATGCTGACCCCACCGGCGGGAGGAGCAAGGGCTGGCGGGGTCTCAGTGCCAGATCTTCATGTCGCCCTCCCAGGAGCTGGTGGCCAGGACGGAGGGCAGCACGGGGTGGAAGGCGGTGCCCACGCAGGCCTGGGTGTGTGAGTGCAGCGTGCGCGCCCGGCTGGCCGTGCGGAAGGTGTAGAGCAGCGCCCGGCCGTCTGCGCTGCCCGTCACCAGCAGGTCGCCGTCGGGGGAGCACTCGCAGCCCACGGAGTAGCCTTCCACCTGCGGAGGCGCAGAGCATGAGGCGGGGCTGGGGCGCCGCTCCAGGGAGCAGGGCGCGGAGCTCCTGCCGGGGCGCCCGCGCTCCAGGCTGGTGGCGGAATCCGGCGGGACCTGAGCTCGGCCTCACCGGCAGCTCCCGGGGAGGGGGGAAGCGGGCTGCTCTGCACCCCGGGGCCTGGCCACGTGAACTGACCAGTGGCGGGGGCCCGGGGGTGGCTGGGGCTTGTGTGGACACCAGGGCGGCGCGTGGCCAGCACCCGCTTGGGAACTGACAACAGAATCTCCCCAGGCCGAGGCGCCTGCTCCCCGGGCCCGGGGGCCGCCCTGGTGGCCCCTGACCGTGGCCGGGCGCTTACCTTGTGGCCCTCGTAGCGCCGCCGCCTGCTCATGCGGTAGGGCCACACCGCCGAGAAGAGGGCCAGGTAGTTGCCGTTGGTCTGCGCCAGGAACACGGGCTCCCGCGGGTGCAAGGCGAGGCTGGGGCAGGTGTACCTCTCCTAGAGGCGGGGCCAAGACAGGGGCGGGTTCCCGCAGCCGGCCGGGCAGCCACGCGCCGCGCTGCCCCCGGCCTGTGCCCCTCCCGGACCCGGGCCTGGGCCGTGCGTCTCCTGCTGCTGCTGCTGCAAACGCCACACACGCCACGGCTGAAGACAGCAGGCTTATCCCCTCGCGCCCTGGCGGCCGGGTGGGGCGCGGCCCGCCGGGCTGAAGCCGAGGTGTGGCAGGGCCGTGGTCCTTCTGGGGGCTCCGGCAGGGAGTCCGCTTCCTTGCGCCTTCTGCCCTCGGCCGCCACGTGCCTCGGCTGGGCGCGCGGGCCGCGGCCTCCCAAGCAGATCCACGCACCCGTCCCAGGGACGAAGGGACGTTACCTTCTGTGGCAAAAAAAAAGGGGTGGGGGCGGGCGCTGGGCTTGCAGATGGGGTCAAGGATCTCCAACTGGACAGCGTCCCTGAACGGCCAGCCGACCGCCTTAGGGGCAGTCAGGCGCGCCCTCCAGCGGGCGGTGGGCCTGAGCTGGGGCTGCAGGGCCAGAGGAGCTCTGAAGGTGCTGCGTGCAGGCGGGGAGGGACCACGAGCCACGCTTCCTCAGCAGCCACCCGGAGCCAGGGGCCCCCAAGGCGTCCAGGGGTGCATGCCTGGACAAACTCTGATCTAGCCCAGCGACCCTTACTAGGAGGTTCTGGCCTCAAGCTGCAAGTGAATACATTTCTGTTAGGCCGCTAACAGAGAAAGCAGACTAATCCGCGTGACCCGGGGGCCCCGGCCCGGGGGCCCCCACGCAGGCACAGTGAGGAAGGAGGCAGCCCGCGAGCCGGAAGGCGAGGCACCCACGACGCCCAGACACGAGGCCGGGAAGCCGCCGGTTTGGGGGGTTCGGCCGCACAGAAGCGCCCTCGGAAAGCTCCTCGTGGGGCTGGGCTGCTTGAAAGGAGCCGCGCAGAGCGCCAAGGGAGGCCCGCCCAGCAGCGAGGACGTGGGCTCTCAGGCGGCCAGGGCAGCGCAACAGCCTCCGTCCTGTCCTCCCTCTCTGCAGGCAGGAGGCAGGATGCCCCTGGGGTTCACACGGGGGAGGGTGGGGCGGGCGCTGGTGCCTGCGGATAACCCACTCTGTGCCCCCCCGAATCGCACATCTATGAGGCGATTCTTAATTTTCTAAGAAAGTGAGCACCAAAGAGGCCAAATAACCGTGGGGCTCCCAGCTTGTAAGTAGTTGGCCCAGAACTTTAAAACAGCCGGCCAAGGTCAGAGTGCCTGGTCGCACTCCCAGACCCCACGCCTGCCAGGCCACAGGGAGCGTGGGGAGGAGGGAGGGAGCCAGGCGGCATGAGCTTCTTCCCGCTGCCCTGGAGTGAACACCCCCAGCCTGCAGGGGTCTGTGCTGGGGGAAAGAAGCAGGGAGCCACCTGGGCTGTCCACCCTGCCTGGGGTGCAGGGGCCACCCATCGCCAAGCATTGCCGCGGGAGCCCCTCCCGCAGGCAGGGAACCAGGACCCAGCCTGGCTGCCCGGGGCCCGCTGGGGGAATGAAGGTTACGGCCAACAGGGCTGCTCACGTGGAAAATCTGGTTGGAGATCTTGGCGGAGCTCCGGAAATCCCAGGCGATGATGGTGCGGTCAGCGGAGTCGCGGCTCGAGGCGTCTGTGCTGCTGAGAAACTCGGAGCCCCCCTGGAGGAAGAGGATGTCCAGGGTCTGCTGAATCGTGGCCTTGTAGCTTTTCACCACCTGCAAGAGGGGGCTCCCGTCACACTGCTGGCCCCGGGGCCCAGTGCCACAGAGAGGCCGCGGGAGCCTGCCGAGGCCCGGAGGGCAGAGCTGGACAGGGCGCGCCCAGGCTGGGCACCAGCTCGTGGTGCTGGGACTCAGAGCGGGAAGAGCGCCCGCCCCCAGGCAAAAGCCTGTCGCGAGGACCTGCTTCCTGAAGGCCCTCCAGCTAACAGACCCCTTCAGCACCGACCACGCACCCACAGGTGCGGGCCCAGGGAGACAGGGCGACCCCCCGGGGAGGAGCCCCGGAGAGCAGAGTACCCCATGAAGGCTACTGAGGGGTGGGTCCCGCGTCCCGTCCTATGTGCGGGGCCCGAATCTTCATCGCCAGGGCTGTGTCTGAGAGGACCTCGCTTCTGAAGATGTCACCTAAGTCACAGCTCACAGCATCGCAGACCCAGCCCCGCGGCGGCGACTGAAATGCGGGAGCAGCGTGACGGCAGCCCCGGGGGAACGCCACCCCGAGGCACCTCTGGCTCCCCGTGCCACGCCGCGCCCGGATCTGGCCGTCACACACGCACATCGCGCTCAGCACACACACACCCCCACTCCACACAGCCGCGGTCAGGTCGGGGGGCCCCAGAGAATGGACGGGGGAGGGGCGGCCTGAGCAGCGGCTGGCGGAGCTGGAGTCGGGCGGGGCAAGCTGCCGTCCCTAGTGGGCGCACTGGTGAGGGGTTCAGCGGGGACTGGCTGCCTTTGGGGGAGCTGGAGGGGCTGGGTGGTACCGCGGGCCCAGAAGCCACACTGCAGATGCGAGTGGCTGCTGAACGCACCGGCAGAGTAGGGTTTCTCCTCTGTAGTCGACCTGACCACAGAATACTAGTAAGATTTAAGAAATGAAACATGGGCGAAGTGAAAAATGTAGACTGCAAGTTCAGCCACAGGGTGCAGGGTGCCAGGGCGTGGGCCTGCAGGCCTGGCCGCCCTTTCCCAGCTCCCAGGGCGCCACCATGTGGCCACAGTGGGGCTCCGAGCTCCACCCGTCAGCTGCCAAGCGGGACGTCCTGACAACTGCTTCTTTCTAGTCATTTATTTTTTTAAAGATTTATTTATTTATTCATACGGAGCTGGGGTACAAGCCAGAAGTGCAGGACAAGTGAGAGGATTTTCCAAGACAGTGGGGAACAGAATAGGCAGATCAATGAAGTCCACTGCTGAGAGGAGCAGTGGGCAGGTCAGGAGGGGTCTGCTGTGCCATGTGGATCTCCTCGGGGGCAGGGATCGAACTTGCACTGAGGCGGCTGCGGCTCGTTTGCAGTGCTGCGTCATAACCCGTTGTGCCATCAGGGAGGGCCTCTTTATTTTTGAAGATTTGTTTATTTATGCATACAGAACTGGGGTACAGGCCAGAGGTGCAGGGAGTGAGAGGCTTCACCAGAGACAGAGCAGGGAGCAGAACAGGCAGATCGACGAAGTCCACTGCAGAGGGGAGAAGCGGGCGGGTCTGGAGGGGTCTGTGCGCCCTGGGGGTCACCTCTGGGGCAGGGATTGAACTCACCCCAAGCGGCTGTGGCCAGCTTGCAGTGCGGTAGCCTTACCCGCTGCGCCACCAGGGAGGCCGACCACTGCTTTCCTAAGGCGAGTTCACAACCTCTCAGACTGTTATCTGCCTTTCGATCAGCCTCGTTCCGATAACCTAAATTAAATCCACGTGGGGAGCAGCGCCCCCCGGGGGCAGACCGCGCACAGGGGTTTGAAACCCATCCCCTGGGTGACGTGCGCCCCCGGGGCGGCCCGGGCATGGGGGTTTGAGACTCCGGACACGGGAGTTTGAGGACAGTGAGGCTCAGGGAGAGGCAGGGGTGGGCTCTGGGCAGAGAGGGCCAGGCAGCCCCCACCCCAGGCCCACACGGCTCCTCCCAGGCCAATTCCTGCTGGGTTAACCCTGGAACAAAGCCCCAGGGGCGCAGGGTCGGGGGAAGCTGGTGGCAGTGATGTCAAGCCACTGAGGCCCTCGAGAGGCCCTGGCTCGAGGGACTCGGGCAGGTTCCTGCGAATGGAGGAGTGGGCAGGAGGCTGCCCAGCCCCACAGGCCCACTCACCCTGGAGGTGGCCCTCCCAAGTGGGTGCCAGTCACACAGCGCCTCAGCGGGTCATACAGGCCCATGCCTGCTCCGCGGTGGGTCTGGGCCCACACCACACCCCCTCCGCTCAGCCTGCACACCACGCCGCCACAGCTGGTTTGCGCCTCCGTGAGGGCGCCACACGCTGGCCGCCCCCACGCCAGACCCCGCTCAGACCCCACCCACAGGCCCCACCTCCACGTGCCGAGGCCGTGTCTTCCTTCCCTCCCACCCAAGTCAGCACCACCAGCACAGATACAGGGAGAGCTAAAATACGCCGGAAACTAGACTTTGAAGGTCAAGAAGGAAACTGTGAATTCTAAAGCAACCACTGAAAAACAGACACGACACGAAACCACAGGCAATGAGGCAACAAAGAGATAAGGTGAAACTCCCCAGATACTAAATAAATCCTAAAAATACTAAATCGCTCTGAGAGAAGGGGACAGAAAAATACACAGAACAAATGAAAATCATGATGGGAGATCTCAACCCAGCCACATCAATAATTACATTAAAACAAGATAAACACATTAGCTCGAAGGAAAAGACTGTTACAGGTTTCCTTACTATCTGAAAGTACAAAGCATGGTATGATTTCATGGGTTATCTTGGGGGTCTGGGGATGCTCAAAATTATTTCCATATAAATTAATGGTGATAGCATTTCCAGATTCAAAATCTAATTTCTAAATAATACCAAATGGGGAATCTATATATACGATCAAGACCCAACAAATGCTGCCTCCATGAAACACATTTAAAGTGTAAAGACAACAAAGAGGTTAAAAGGTTTTTCAAATAGGAAAAGATATGCCTGCTAATCATTATCAAAGTAAAGCAAGAATGTCCATGTTAATAACAGAGTAGAGCTCAGAGTGAAGAATATTCATGGGTGGAGAGGGGCTTTTCATAATGACAAAAGAGTTCATATCGGGAGAATTCAATAATCCTAAGTGTTAGGATATTCTATGTACCACATCAGAGCTTCATACAGGATGGAAAACTAATAGAATTTTAAAAGGAAATAAAACAAACCTATTCTTACAGGCAGAAATTTCAACCAACTTTCCCCAACTGAAAGAACAAATACATATTTAACCATAAGACCACAGATTTGAACACCTCCAACAACCAGATCTAACTGATGGTTATAGAACACAGGACTCAACGACAGCAGACTAGGATCTCTTAAAGTGCACACAGAACATTTACCAAGAGAGACCACATCTAGGACTTCAAACGAGTCGCGATACATTTAAAAGGACTAAACATACAAGGTATGTTTAGTGACCACACGATGCAGTTAAATTAGAAATCAACACCGATAATTGGAAAATTCCCAAATGTTTAGTAGCACACACCTAAATAACCATGGATCAAAAAGAAACAAAAAAAGACAAACAGAAAGCTTATGAACTGGACACTGAGAAGCAACTAGCAACAGCTGTATGATGCACTTGCAAAACTAGAGGAAAGATCATGGAACCAAAAGTCGAAAGTTTCTTAAAACCCGGACCTCAACTTTCACTTTAAGAAACTTGATGAAGGCCCTCCCTGGTGGCGCAGCAGGTTAAAGCACAGCACTGAGAATCTAAAGCCACTTCCGCATGAGTTCGATTCCCGCCTTCCCCGGAGGTGACACATGGCGTGGCAGACCTCCCCTGACCCGCCCGCTGCTCCCCTCAGCAGTGTACTTCATCGATCTGCCTGTTCTGCTCCCCACTCTGTCTCTGGTGAAGCCTCTCACTGCCCCTGAGCCTCTGGCCTATACCCCACTTCTATATGCACAAATAAATAAATCTTTAAAAAAAAAAAAAAGAAAGAAACTTGATGAAGAAGACAAAATTAAGCACACTGTTTAAGCAGAGCATATAACTAGGAAAAGAAAGCAATATTTTTTCAATAGAGGAAAATCAACAAAACCAAATTCTAGTGCTGCAAAAAGATCAACAAAGTTGACAAACCTCGAGCCAGACTGATCAGAGGAAAAAGAGAAAACTTAGCAGTATCAGGAAAGAGGGAAATGAGGTAAAGTTGTTACAAATTATATGGTTATAAACAATAAAAGTACCATAAAAGCTGTCATAAAGTTATATAACTTTGATGAAAGGGGTATATTTCCAGAGGACACAAATTACCAAAGGTCACTCAAAGACAAACAGAAAATTGGGATGACCCTTTTATACCAAATAAATTTTATTTGAGGTTTCAAATCTCACAAGAAAATTCCAGGCCAACCTAGCTTCACTCGTCAATTCTAGCAAACATTTGTCTATCAACGCTAGACAGACTGTTGAGGAAAAGAACAGAACACCCCCCCAATTCATTCCACAACTCCAGAATTGTCATGACACCAAAACCAAAGATTTACAAGAAAAATATGATATTCCTCGTATTCTTAGCACGTTTCAGCTAGTAGAATCCCAAATTATGTAATAGATAATATACCATGACGAAGTGAGATTTATGCCAGGAATGCCTAGTAGTTTAATACTGGGCATCTATTGAGACAGTTCACCATGTTCACGATAAAAAAGAAAAATATATATATATTATCTCTTCAGTAGAATGAGAAGATAGTTGACCCAACAGCCGTTCACAAATATTCTCCAGTTGGGGACTGACAAGGAATGGCCTCACATTGGTCAGGACTCTACTGACAAGGCCGCAGTTCAAAGACGCAGCTGGGAGCGCCTGGGACGAGGACGTGCCTTCTGCCACTCCAGTCAGAAGCGCGACGAGTCTGCGTGGTGAATAAAGGACAAGGAAAGGAGAGTGGCAGAAAGAAGGGCAAGAAGGAAGAAACGGCATCCAGACCTGAAGAAACAGATGCTGCCTTTCCAGAGACAGGGTCATCTCTGCAGAAAAGCCAACAGGAGCCAGAAACAGC